CGCGACGACTTCGTTGAAAGAAAGCTTAGAATGCGCCTTCTCGACTGATTCCAACAGATTGAGGTTGTCTGTGGTGAGCTTTGGAATGGATAGCCGTCTTCCAGGTGCGGAGAATGGGTCGTGGAGGGGAAGTTCGTATGCGCCTTCTCCTCGGACTGCGACGAAAATCCCGCCTCGTGGACTCGAAGGGTTGGATAGGTCGGAGGGTAGGTTTGGACATCCGATCACGCCGAGCTGCACTCTGGTTCGTCCTTCGGTCTTGACAATCAAAGACAGACACACTGCGTACTGCTCTCCCCGCAGGAAGCCCTTTGTGCCGTCTATAGGATCTAACGTCCACATCCCTGGTGGATGTATGCGCTAGTCAGCGAAGGAAGTTCGATATCATATCCATGGTATTACGCACGTTCTGCCTTCCCCTCATGTTTGCCTTTGTCGATGATGTTCAACAGCTGCTCGGTTGTCTGCTGACCACTTGGCCCGAGTCCCCACTCCTCTTTCTCTCCCGCTTCTAGCTTTGCCGTCAGCGTCGCGTTGGCCAATTCTACGATGCGAGTCCGGAGAGCTGTGGCGGCGTCGCCGCGGAGATCTGCTGCATCCTCTTCACCGACAATGGGATCATTTGGAAAAGCACGACCGAGGATAGTATTGACAACTGCCTGTGCAGCAAAATCGCCGACTGTGTAGACGATCAAGCAGTTGAGTAGCTGATCTCGCAAGATCGGACGATGATACTCACCGGTCACTGGACTTGCATCCTCCTTGGTCAAGGTCTCATTCTTGACAAGGTTGTTGAACACAGATGATGTGAGAATGCATGCCCTTCTAACTGCAGCGATCGCGACCTGCTTTTCGGCGGCGTAAGACATGGTGTTGGTTCAGTTTGAAGGAGAGAAAACCGACTACAGGAGATGACCCGATACTTGAGCTTATGGCATTTGAGAGCATAGATCGTCCATTCGGCAACTCTTCTTCAAGGCTCTGGAGTGACTGGGTCGAGTAACGTCGCGATGTTGTGGCTTGCAATGCCAAGCGTCGACGTCGCCGCTGGCCGCAAAGCGATTCGGGAAGCTCTCCGCGCGGAGCCCAGCTGCCGACGACTTATAGCTCTCACAGTCACCAGGCGGGTCAGTACTAGCTAGTAGCGGGCTCATACCCATTTCTATGGATTTTGGATTGCGGCCGTGGACTGAACGCGTTTCAATCCATCGTGCATTGCGGTGCGTTCAATCCACAGTTACTAGTATACGATTCCGGATCCGGCGCTAATAACAATGCTCGACGGTCCTTGCTCGTGAGAGGACCTCAAGCAAAATTCAAATCAACGCGTACGGATCCGGAATAAATTCAAGACAAAGAAGGATTTACTACCACTATCGCGAGCACTATTGCGAGCAGTAAGATATATGAAAATCGGTAAGAGGCTACTACTACATAGCTGAATCACGACGTCAAGGGGGAGAAGAAAATTCCTGACCCAGGGTTGCACAAGGCGGCGGGCCACCATCTGGCATCAACGCTGACAGGTCGTCGAAGATGCAGCCCGACGAGATTCAGGCTTCAGCGCGGCGGTGCAGGACACATCGAAGGTGAGCCTCGAAAGCCCTGGTGGTCTTCTTCAAGTTCAGCGCTCAGCTTGCGTCGCCGTTTGGGCGCCAGAAAACACTTTTGCACTGCAAAAGTGTTTTCTGGATGGCAAGCTTCGATGACCGCTCCTGCGACTTGAACATGGCAGCCCAAGGATGGCGGTCCCGCCGTCCCGGTGGTCGTTCTCAATGGAACAACTGAAGGAGAAGCACGAGCTGATGGCGAAGACTCGTCATGAGCCAGCGGCCACGGCGAGAAGCAAAGCGGCGGGTCGGCGACAACGCCACAAACCGGCCATGTTTCTGGCTCTCGAGAAGCAACGGGTCGAGCGCGGAAAAGGTCGACAGCTCAAGCCACTTTCCTGTCCCTCGAGAAGCATCGGCCAGTGCGCAAGTAGGCAACTCGACTGAATTGCCCTTCCAGAAGAGGCCACTTCACCCACTCCCCCTCGAGATCACTTTGCCAACGCTTCGGACAAGGCACGGACACTGGTAGAAGCTCCTCTCTATCCTGTTCCAGGACTACTGGAACACGTCTGTGCACACGAGTTCCCTACTGGCAGCCCCAAAACTCTTGTAACAGTTGGCACAAGGGGTGCGTCATTAGATAGGCCAACTCCAGAAAAGTATCCCTCCAGCCGTTGCGCCAGCCGACGTGTTCCAAGACTCTTGGAACAGGCCAGCGCCTCTCTCGCCAGACGATTGGGAAGAGCCGGCACGACCACTGGCAAAATGATTCTCTGTGTCCTCTCGCTACCTGTTCCAGGACTCTTTGAACACGTCTATGCTCGCCAGATGTCAGTGCTAACCAAAGGGCTTCCGGTGTATTGCGTGTTCCAAGATTCTTGGAACAGCTACACAGAAGACGTGTTACTATCTTGCAAGCCAGACCACTGGCAGGCTGCCAGGAAAACTGCCCTCGAGGCGGCGCCAGTAAACCAAGTATAACAGTACGTCAGCAAAACAGAATGATCTCCAGGAAAAGTACGCACAGACCGCGATCCTCCTCCACAGAAGAACGAGAGAGGTCTATCGAGTCGATACGACTATGCCGACTCGGAGTCAGCGAAAGGTCTTCCGTTGCCGATGGAAGCCGAGGTTTCAAAATGCAGATCGGACCAATCACCGATGGGCGTCGAAGGGCAGATCGAGAGGGACGAGAATGACTGTGGGGAGCCTTGCTCTTACGAGCAAGGAATACCTCTTTCAAGTTCTTACCTGTTCTTACTACTAGGTGGTAGTAGTACAAGTCATACAACGTGAATGACCCCACTTTCCTCCCTTGCTATAACCGTGACTTACACAACTCTCTTCTTCAGTAGCTACCGCCATGTCCTCTACCGTGAAGGTTTTTATTAACGATGAAGACAAGCCGACCAACATTCCGAACTTTGAGACCATCATCACGCAGGGCCACGAGCTGCGTTCTCGCCAGTGTACCTCCATAAACATCAGCGGTGTCCGAATGACTCTGGACAAGAAGTCTGATAACGAGGTCAGCGACATCTGGGTTAAGTTTGGGGGCGACATTACCATGGCAGAGGCCGAGACGCAACGCTTTGTCGCGCAATACCTTGAAGCTAACAGCATCTCGCCTGTCCGTGCCCCTCGTGTTTACCTTGCCTTCACGTGGGGCCACTCTGGTTACATTGTGTCCGAGTATATCGACGGGCAGATGTGCGGCGACACCGACATTCCCCTCGTTGCTACCGCTGTGCAATCGCTCATTGCCATCCCAAGCCTCGGCTCAACGCCTGGACCCGTCGGTGGAGGTCTCATCGAACATCTCTTTTTCGTTGAGCGGGCGTCTCCCATCCGATATGAATCCGTCAAGGAGCTGCAAGATCATATGAATGGTGTAGGTGCTCTCCAAATGTCTCTGGCTGCACTCTAGATGGTAACTCTTGACACAGATTCTACGCTTCATGGGAAGGAGCAGACGTGTCAACTTCGAACCTGAGCTTGCCGACCGCGGTCTCTGCCTCTGCGTGTCTGACCTGAAGCTAGTCAACTTTATGAAGGACAGAGAATAGGATTGTGGCCGTCGATTTCGGTGGTTAATCCTTCCTGCCGCCCTCCTTCTTCGCCTTCGTGATAGAGCACGGAGCTCCCTCAAGGCTCATACAGTATGTCACCAGCACGCTCAAGAATCCACCATCAGCAACGGCTGCGACATTGTTCGACGCGTCCTGCGCGCTGGTTCCATTCTCGACTAACAACATCGGTGAGCAAGGTCTTTTCATGTCTCTTGCGAATACCGAGCTCAATGATATACTGCACAGGCCTTCCGGCGGAGCTTCGGTCTAGATTGGTTGGATAGTAGTCGTGTGGCACAACCGTCCTCACTTTTTCAGGACAACGACTTCTCTACAGGGACCTGAAGTGCGCGCTGTTGTAGTCCTCGCCACACTTTACATTCTCAAGCAGCTCTCAAATGAGCAGCGTAGCTGTGCACAGATGCCTCTGCATCGCAGTGGCTCGCTGTTGCCTTCTTTCCACACCTCTCAGCTACTCTCCCGACAAGGCGGCCGCAACCCGTTCTCACTGATTGTGGACCGTGGATTGAACGCGGGACCGGATTGAGGATTCCTCACATAGTTGTAGTGCCACCGTGTGGCGTACTACGTGTTCAATCCACGGTCCATTCCTGGCAGTCACTACAATGATTTCGCGGCCATCTCGAGCACAACGATGTTCGCTCATACTGATGATGTGCACTTCTGCATTCAAGACAAGGCTAGAATTACCATATACAGACAGGGACGCCGTACACGGTGATTCTGAACAACTCAGTCGGGTGTTGTGAGAACCCCGAGTTCGATAGGCGCTAAAATCGCTCTTGAAGCGTTCAGCGAACACCGAGTAGTACGGGACAACACGAAGACTGGCTCGAACACGGAAAAGTGAGTAGGGAAAGTCTCCGGATTCAAGGGTCTTGTCTAACAGCGCACAAACTACAGGTTCTTTAATACTACTCTACGACGCCAACGCCACTCCCTTCATCAACAGCTTCGTCAGCAAGTGAGCCACTCCGAGATCAATACCGAGAACACCAGGCAAAAAGGTGAAGAGAACGAACACGAAGTGCAAATAAAAGGTGTCTAATGTCCCACGCTTCGCAGGTCGGTCCGAGGAGGATCGGGTGTCCGTCCACACCCTTACAGGTGTGTAACCGCGTACGCGGTGGATAGGGATTAGTAGTGGTGGCTCCGGATTACAGAGAGATCACTGTATTGCCTCACGTTCAGGTAAATTTTAGATTGACCTGGTCACTGGTGGTGTTTCTTGCTTTTTCGACGCTTGGCTGTTACCACAATGTTGACTGTTATGTACCGCAAAGTTCAAGATCATCGAAGACATGGCTGCTCGACGCGTATTTCTCTCCATATTTACGGTAAGCAATTAAAATGTATCGCCGGGATAGCTCAGTTGGGAGAGCAGCAGACTGAAGTCACTAGCATTTCTGAAGGTCCCGTGTTCAATCCACGGTCCTGGCATTCGTTTTTGCTTTTTTGCTGCTGTGTCTTACAATGCGAATCTGTCGATGGAAGCTCGAGGGATGTCTTGCCTTATGTGGGCGATGTATCTTTGCTTTTTGAAAGACTTCCTGAGAGTGAAATCCAGAGAATGCCTTGGTCGATCAGGTGGATCCAATATACTGTCACGATCATCAAATGCGAGAATATCATCGGGAGAGAACTACCAAGAGGCAATGTATATCATAGGCGAACTAGCTACAGAATACAAGTGTACGTTTATCCACAGCGGTGGACGAGGTGCTAAACTAGGTAACAGTGCGAACGGAGAGAGGTCAGCGAGAGCGGACAGTACGGCGAAACCCTGCCAAATTATTACTGCAGAGCGGCGAGAGAGACGGAACGAGAGGTAGGCAAAGTAAGGAAAGCCGACGAGATGGGAAGAAAAGAAAGGTATAACGGAGAGGGGGAGAACGTCATACAGGTGGTCGTGAACGGATCATCAAGGCGAGGCCTAGGTCGACAAGAGTTAAGAAACGGTATGCATACAGAGAAGAAGAAGGAACTTGACACACACGTCGCAAGGTATCTAATCAAGCCCAAGAAGTATCAAGCCACTCGAGACCAGAGAACCGTCGTCTGTCATAAAGTTGAGCATCAATCAATGGAGGCTCAGTGTGCCCCGTCGGAGCCCCCGTTCCAGTCATTACGTTCCGCCAGCGTTGTCATCCGCTGCGACTCGGGAACCTCCTGCTTCTCCGCCTACATCGTGGTTGGCCATCACCGCTCCTGAGGGTTGCGCATGTGGGTAGGCGTAATGCCCCGGCCAAGGTGGGTATGGCGCGTACGATTGTGGTGCAGGGTAATACGGGTATACTGGCTGCGGTGCATCGGCAGGAGCATAGGGAGGATAAGACATGGGTGCCGGAGCAGCAGGCGCATGCGTAGGAGAGTGCTGCGCCGGCGGCGAGGGTGTTTGAGGCACTGGAGACCCCGAGGTGACTGAGGGTGCATACGGCGCAGGGGCAGGAGAGTAGACAGGTGCTGGTAAGTACCCCGGAGGAACAGGGTAGTAGGGTGCAGAATATTGATAATGAGGCGCAGTGGTACTGGAGAGACTGGGATCGGGATAAGCTGGTGCAGGTTGCTGAACAGCGGGTGCAGTGTAGGGTTGCGCACTGGGCCCAGCATGTGAAGATTCTTGAGAGGTCGACGCGGCGACTGTTGTTGCTGCTTTCGCTTTTCTGCGCTTGGGGGATGTCCCTTGGCCATAAGGGTCGTAACGTTTAGAGCGTTTGCCTGACTGGGTTGAGGGCTCCTCGAAGGGGAGCGCCGACAAGGGCGCCGGAATGAGATGAGGGGAGTTGTCGATGTCGTCGGCTTCGCCCCGATAGCGAGGAACGCCATCGACACCAATCTCGACCTTTGGGGGATTCCTGAAGTGAGTCTTGTCGAGGTATTCAGGTGAGATATCCAGAGCAGCGAGTTCAGGCAGCGTAGACGGCGAACGGAGCCGGCCTTGTTCCACGTCTTCAATCTTGTAATACGAGATGAGGTGTTGTGCGACACCAGCAATTGTGAGGGAGAAGGTCTGTAGGGGTCAAACAATAGCCAGCTTAGCGCTCTGAGCATCCTCTGAGGAAGCAGCGACGCACCTTCTTCATCATGCCTCCCGGCTTGAACTTGTAGCTATTCGTCAAGCTGCCCACCAAAACTCGCTCTCGTTGTCGATCAATATTCAATCGACTGGTTTCCCCCTTTGGTCTGCTCAACGATTGACTCTCTGTCTTCACCGGCTCTGCCACATAGTCGTCGTTATGCGCCTCCCGCTCATTGCGTGCGCTCCTGTGACCAGCGCCTCGTTTCTCGGTCTCGCGATAGAGCAGAAAGTTGCCCAGGATGCGGCTTGGACTCCAGAAGAACCCATCTGTCCACCGCTTGATCCCGCTCTCGTCCTCGTCAAACACAAACACGGAGCCAGAGGTAATCATCTTCCGTTCGGAGTCGACGAGTCTTCGAGTGACGCGAGGTATGAGGCCACGACGAGCCGCTTCGAGGATAAGTAGAGCATCTCCTGTCGTTTCTATCCACCCAGACCAAGGGGGTTCTGTCCAGGAACTAGCGGGGGCGTTCTGAGAATTGGAAGAAGACGGCTGCTGGTCGGACATGCCGCGGGGGCTCGAGTGCTGTAATTAATGTGGCGACATCGCGATAACGAGGCGGGCGACGAACAGAGCATGGCGAACGGCGAACAAGAGCATGGGAGTCAGGAGGCGGGTCAGCTATGCATTTTTAAAAGTAAAGTTCACAAACAAAGTTGACTGACCGAGGCAGAGTTTCGGGAGGTCTTGGGGGGAGTGTGCAAGGATTTTCTGACCCCGCCGCTCCGCCTTCCAGCTCAGGAGGCGTGGGAACTTTGCCTGGGCTCACGCTTCGTCTCTCCCCTCGATGGAAACAGCGACGCTCCCGGGGGGTTTGTGGTCGTCCTCGTCGTTGCACACAGCGAGCAGCGACCCCGCGCCATCGACCACCCCCCCTTCGACCGCCTTCCGCCCATCAGTCAGGCCTCGAGGATCGCACATGCGCCCCACCTTCGATGGCACCCTTTTCCTGTCCATCCCCACCCACCTGCCCTAGGACGCGAGCGTTTCCCTTGCCTATCGCGGTACCCTCAATCAGCTCTGCGGTATCATAAGTGGACACCAGCGCGGAACAGGGACCGCAATCCTCCTTGCACCCTTCTTGTGGACCGGTGCCTAGCTTCTATGAGGCCTCTATGACGCGCGCAAGAAGGGGACTTGTCAATGGGCAGGCAAAGTCGCAGCGTCAAGCTCACCACATGTCGGGATTTCCTACCGTTCTCTCGCCAGTCAGACTATGGCCGGCTCTCTCGCTGGACTCGAACTGCTAGCGAATCGCAGTCAAGTATCTTCAAAGCGGCGCGACACCGGATCTGCTTACCGCACGGCCTGACGGCTAGCAGGTATGTATGTACCTCTGTGGAGCTGGCACCGTTCCTTATACCTTCTTTTAGATCTGTCATCGGCCGTATTATGCTATTCACGGGCTCTCGAGATTGCAAGCTTGCCACCTCGTTGCTACTCGACGCTTATGCAACGCACTGGTCAAGGCAGGCTCGTTGTATGCGCATCTCGCCTTCCTCTCCTGCAATAGACCCATCAGGCTATCTTCAACTGAAATCGAGGGGCTGACATTGCGTGAAGCATCTCTCAACAAGCCGCTTCACCTGGTATGATTCCTTCTGCGCACGATATGTGACCGCTCTGACACATCTTTTCAGCTCTTCTTTTTTCACTCGAAGGAGGGGCCTGGGCTGCGACGATGAATTGTCGCTGTCGCTTAACATTATGTATTTTTGTACAAGCTACCGAGCCGCTAGATTGAAGGACCTATCCTTTTCCGTCCCCTTGTTGCCTGTTGTATTCCAGCTCGGAAGCTGTCTCTGTGAAAGGACCACGCTGGTTCTTCAAGTGGTATGCCTACACCACATCGGCCTCGTCATACAATACAGGCATGACTGACCCGCCTCTCTGTCTAGATCTCTTTGCTACCTTCTCTCTTGTGATTCGGAATGCTATTAGCGTTGACCGCGCTGTCTTCGACGCTCAATTGTCCCCGATGATCGCATTCATGAAGTCCAGTCCTCTCGTCAACCCAGTCCGCTCAGTACCGGGTGTTACTCCAAAGGATCAACGGCCAGCTGTGCTCAAGGTACAACCGCCTCACGGGTCTGTTCTTGTATTCTCGTCCGTATGATAAGCCAAAGATCTGATGCTTGTAATGCAGCGGGTTTACTCAGGCTCGTCCTCGTCCGAATCGTGCACCCTCAAATCCTTCCGCTCCGGCATCAAGCCCGCCCTCCGATCTGCTATGTTTTCAAGACATTCTAATGTGATGCATTGGTCTGGTCTAGATCGAGTAAATTCACATCGTGGCGTGCCACGATCAAGTCTTGCGCAGAATAGATTGTTTCTGTTCGACTGATTCATTGGTGAGTCGTCGGAAGAGGATGGTGGATGTGAGCTCAGCGCCATCAGTCCTGATGTCGTTCACATGTCACCCCGATAGGTTCCTCAATACACGACCATACGAAACGTTTCGAAACCGCCGGCGGTGTTTGGGTGCACCTAGACCCATGCGCCTCTTCATTTGAGCTGACTAGGAGGGCCGCGCCATAGGTGTGAATGCATTGGTAAGACCATATGTATCTTCCTCATTGAAAATTGCGCTGGTTCCGTCTCCTGGTCAGGGGCTCGTATGTTGTAGAATATGGCCGGCACCTTTGGGGGCATTTGCGAGGCTTGCTTCGAAACATGGATGTTTTACGCCGACTGCAGCTGATATGTTATGCCCTCGGACGACACCTTTAGACAAGGAGATCATTTAGATGGCAACACGCCGGCATGCCACGACATACCATGATGGGAAACTCTTCGGTCGAACGCCACCGCATACACTCGCCTTTCACGCAAACACTCGAGGATATCGGAGTACTTGACTTTGCTCGCGGGATCACCAGAGGACTTGCCTGCTTTCGGAGCAGAGGTATGAACGAAGTCCGGGAGAGGAACGCAGGTACGTCGAACCACGTGTAGATGATCCGTCATACCGTGATTCCTGACATGTTCTTAACAGAGCGTGTGGCGAGGATTCTATGTCAAAGTCCGGTGTTCCTGGAAAGTAGATTGAACTTCCCACCACGGCCGCTCCGATGCTTGACAATTCTATAGCGAATTCTTTTTGAGCGCCGGGGAACCCAATATCCAGTTTTATGCGCGTATCTGCCCCAGTCCCAAAAGACACAATTGACATCGGCAGTCAGGCGGCAGACTTGTCCACTGCTCGTCGTCTTGCGCATCTTGCTTCAGAGATCGCATTTGGACAACAGGATGTCCCTTCATGGTGTAGGCGACCCTTGGCTATGACTGACAGCTTCGAACAATATCGCGAGATGTGCCTGTAGGCACATTCTGATATTGACAGGTAAGATTTCCATCGCT